CCTTCGTCATAGTCCTATTTTATGTGATATCTTTTCCTTTTTAGTTTGTCCCAAAACGAACGTCACCTTACTATAATTAGAAACAATTTAACTTTAAAATCTCCATTTACAACCACAGAACTATTTAAAGATTGTTTTAGACAACAAATTCAAAGATCTTCATTTTCTTTTAATACGACATATTAAGTCAAATAATGTCACGTAAAATATAACGAAAGAAGTACTTACTTTATAATTTAGAGATAAGAGGGGTAGCTAGCGTGAAGAATCGTGGAAGCAAGTGTGCAGAAAGTCAGCAAAAAGAGGACTATTTGTCTAGTCAAAAAGAAGTTTCTAAAAGAAGACTAATATTTGTGTGTAAGGTACAAATTATTTTCTATTATTTCATTGTTCTTTCCAACATAAGCACACGCACAAAAACGCACTAAAATTGCACGTAATATGTCTCTTATATACATCTTCTTTTGATTTTCCATCTCGTATTCGATATTTATATATCAAACTAAATTTAAATTTGCATCAACAAATTCTCACATTGAGAATAGATTGTTCCCTAACAAAGACGTATGATTCTATATCCAATAGAATTCAAACTCAAAATTTCTAAAAAAATATTTACCGTTCCACCGCAGATTACTCGAAAGCATTTATTAGCAAGCATTGAGTTTATAAGTTTTTATTTAAACCAACAAAGCGGAGACACCGGCGCCAAAGGAGCCTTGCCTTTAACCTTTATTAGGAGACACTATACTTGATTTTTGCTAACCCTTTTTACTTATTTTGTCGCGTCATTTTTACTTATCACGTTTTATTTTATGAAAGTTAGTTTATTTGATTTTTGGATTTAAATTACATTATATTAATTTAATAATATAAAATTTAAATTTAGATGTTTGAAAGTTATACAAAAATTGTAATCTTTATCATATAAATATGATGAAAAAATATATTTTAAGTGGCCAAAAAATTCATGTAGTTTCATTCTTGAAAAGTGAAACGTGACAACTATATATATATATATATATTACAATTTGATCATTATGATACATGACTAAACAATATATTTGAAATTTAATGATTAAATTGTATTTTTTTTAACCATTTATGTAGGAAAAAAATAGGTTCTATGTTTGATTATTTCTGAAATTATATTATCCTCAAATATAAAGTTTTAATACAATACCAATTTATTAATATACTTGATTAAATATCATAATTTATCTATAACTGAGAAATATATATTGAGTTTATACTTCATAGCCTCCATTTTTATTTTATTTTTTTCATGTTATACTACTTGTACCTTTATTTAATGATCTTTGGAATTCTCAAAAGCCAAAACTAACATCCCCACCACACCTTTCTTTGCATCTTTTTCATAATTTGGAGCCTATTAAAAGTACCTAGGCGTGCCACTACCAAAACACAACCACCAAACTTATTAAAACCATAATCTAATTTTCAATATATATATATATATATATATATATATATATATACACACACACACTTGTGTTCAAAGCAATGAAATGAAATTAATTTTCTTACTTTGACCAAATGAGATTATTATTCTTCAATTAAATAAGAAGTCAACTTCCCCTATCCTCCCTAGAAATGTTTCTTGGTATTTTAAGAGTGGAAATTGAAGTAAACTAAGGATAGTTTTTAATTTAATCATTTGATATCTAAATTTTACTTGCTAGAGCAATTTAGATTCGCATTAACTTTCGTTCATAGATTCCAAATAAGGGGAAATTAAACTTCTTCTTATCAAGAAATTCTTTATTCTTAGAACTTAAATTCAAAAAAAAAAATCTAATTAATAATAAAGAGATCTTATTTATTTTATTTTTTTTAAAAAAAGATCTTATTCATTTTATCAAGTCAGATTAAATCGGAGGATTTGGTTGATGTGGTTGATGAGTATGTTTCAATCATACATGGCACATCAATTGTCATCTTGTGGAGACAAGAAACACTTGTCTCCCCACAAACTTGAATTGTTGTCACCACTCGTTCTTTCTTTTTCTCCCTAAATGTAGGCATGTTGAACTCCTTGAAAAACACAAAAGGTACTAAGTGGTAGTTTTCACAAGCATTTCACTTCCTCAAATCAATTTCTTTTGGCCAAACTCACTATACTTGCCTTTTTTTTTTTTTTTTTTTAATATCATAATACATAAACGGATATTTAGGTTTAATCTCATTTGACAAGTAAGGGGTTCAATTCTAAGTACATCTCAATTCGTTTTTATCGTATCATTTAAACACTTCAACTTATAATATGATTATTTAAATACCTTCAAAATTTATGTGTCAGATATCCATAAGATATAGTGGGATGAGTTGTATTGTTCAGTTGAGACCAAGTTAAGGTGTCTAGTCTAGACATGTGCTATCAAAGTTGGAGGGCTTACTTGGTAGTTGAAGCTAAATTTAAGTGTCTATTTATATGCCTTTTTGAAATGTGATCTTAAGAAGTATTTTTCGAAAAAATACGTTTTGACAACAATAATTCGTATTTGACTAATCAATTTAAAAAATATTTATTTTTTTTGTGAATATTGGAGCAACAACTGCACTTGACCAAGATTTTTAAAATATTTTAGAAAAAAAATTACTCGTCCGTTTTGCAGCCAAAACAATAGTAAGATCTGCTCATTGTTTGCAGTTCTGTACTTGGATTGCTGTTGTGAATCGAGTTGGATATGCAAGGGCCTATGGACTAGAATTGGTGGAGACTAATTTAGTTGGAATTACTGAGACGAGTGAAATAGTGGAGTGTTTTATTTAGAATTATCAGGTCGAGATTCCAAATAAAACACTCCAACATTTTACTCGGCCCAATAATCCCAACTAAATTAATCTCCACCAATTCTAGTCCATAGGCTCTTACATATCCAACTCGGTTCACAACAATAGCTTAAGCTTACTGGTTATTTTTTTTAATCTTTCTATAATTTTCCAAAATGTCCCAGGTGTTTAAGAAAAACCAAATTAGGTTTGATTAGATTTTGATTTTTAATTTTCAAAGTCGACATAATCAAGTTTCATTTTGATTTTAAGCAAAAAAATAACTAAAACGATCGAATCAAAATTTTACACAAATCTCATGGTGTTAAGAGCAAATTACATTTTATTCTTGTTCTCTTTCCAAATTACAAAAATCACTTAAATTTGTAGGAGTTCGGATACATCTTAAAACGTCCAGCATCCCGATTTCGGATACATCGCGTACGTCCTGATACATCGCGTAAAGTGATGTACCCGACCGATACATCCAATACAGTGATGTATCTGAGAATATGAGAGAGTAGAGATTTTTGTAATTTTTTCAAATAGTAGAAATTTTTAGAGAATATATGATAAAATAAGTTGTATATTTAAGTGATTTTTCCATACAAATAACTATTCAAAAATGATAATTTCACATCTATAAAATTTATGTTACATATTAATCTTTTGCCCTTTTGGTTAGTAATCTAGGAATTTGCTTTTGTTAGAGTTCAAATTTTTCTCATTACTTTCTAGTTTGATTTGCAACTTTTATTTTAATAATTTTAAGAATCTATTTTATGTTCAAAATGACTTGTCTTTTAAGTCCTTTAGGGGGCGTTTGGTTACTGATTAGAATTATGCAGGTATTAGTTATGCAAGGTTTAGTTATGCAGCTATTACCTAAAGATTAATATCGAGCAAACTGAAAATCTTAAAAGAAAACATCGAATTATGGTTATCGAGCAAAGAAAACATCAAATTATGGTCTAAAATTTCGTAAGTTTATCGCAATATTTAGCCGGTAAAATGAAAATAATATGAACACACATTAGACCTGATCTAATATTGTCCAGACACTACAAATGACTCGTTAAGGAATAACTTTAGATCATTTTAGTAATTCATTTATGAAAATACAGAATTCATTTCTCTCTTCCTAACTAAAGATATTGAGTTCGAATGAATCCATAGCTCTTCTATATTTGCTAGTTGTTTGATAACATGTTGCTTGAGTACTTGGAAAGAGTTCAAAGAAGGCATAATACATGAACGTTACGTTCTATTTAATTTGGCCTCAGCTAGCATCTATGTCCTTCAATTTTAGGTGTACACAAGTAGACAGTTAAAATTATATAAAATTGAACATGTAGACACATGCATCCTACATAGCAATTTGTGTGAGACACATTTGTCCTACATGACAACTGATTTGTATTATGTCACATAGATCGCATGTGTCTACTTATTCAACTTTATACAAGTTTAAGTGTCTATTTGTGATCATCCAAAGTTGAAGGACATAGATACCAACTGATGACAAATTAAAGAGCATGTTATGTATTATACCTTCAAAGAATATATTAAAGTTAATTTTGATCTATTGGAATATTTGTATCAAAAGTGAGTATTCTTTAGGCCATGAAGTCATCTATAATAAAGTATGATAAAAAGGTCAAATAGTGCAGATTCTGCAAACAATAATTCTGCATTATCATATTTTATTAAGATGCAGATTCTGTAAAAAAAAATCTACTTTACACACACAACGAATATAAACCCAAATTAATAAGCTGGATCGACTATATGAATCCTCTATATTCATGCATCTCACTCTGTTTGGGCTTATTTTCATTCCGAAACTGAATAACACGTCCTAAAAACCGGTCTCTAACCAGACAAAAGAAGACTCGTGACAACCAATTGAAAACTACCAAATGAATAAAAAAGGCAGCTCAGTGCATCAAGCATCCCGTGTTTTCAAGTATAGAGGCAGGGAGGGGCCTCATCACAAGGGGTAAAAATAGGCAGTTCACCCAAACGCAAGCGTCAGTGGTTGTTTCCACAATTAGAAGTCGTGACCTATAGATCACAACGGTGATAACTTTAACCGTTACTACAAGGCTCGTCTTTACATTAACGGTGCTCTACAGATTTCACTTTTCGATAAGAGGAAAATGAACTACCTCATCAAATTTCAAAACACATATTATAATAAAGGCTTGTTGTTTGTTCAATTTCCAAATCTAGTTTGGAGGTTTCATTTCCTACTATAGAAAACGGAGAATGCATTATTTACAATGTTGCCTACCAGAGTGTAATGGAGTGCCTCTGATACTCGTGGAATGATTGAAGCTAAGTTGTTGCATTCCGTCTAGTTTCTTCTTTCGTCTTCCTGATTGTGTTAACCGAGAATGATTTGATAATATAGCGAGATCATTGAGGTCTTGTAGCGGAGTAAGAGCCTTCACAATTTCGTCCATGGAAGGACGAGATTTAGAATCCCTGCTTAGGCAAATGTAAGCTAGCTGTGAGATCTTTTGCACTCCTTTAAGGGAGTAATTTAGCTCCAGACGAGGGTCCACGAGTTGATAAAACTTTCTCTTGTCACTTAAATATGGCTTTGCCCATGCTACAAGATTTTGTTCTCCACTCGGCCGCTTTTTGTCCATAGACCTCCTACCGGTTAAAATCTCCAACAGCACCACTCCAAAACTGAAAACGTCGCTCTTTGCTGTCAAATGTCCTGATGAAAAACAAGAGTACAGACTTTCATCAGGTCATAGAAGTCGTGAGAATACGACTAGGTAAATAAAGGAGTGCTCTCAGGTAGTCACACACTTTAACATGGGACAAATGTCCTAAGTTCGAGTCCTAACTCCAACATTATCAAAAAGGATTTTCACGTATCAGGCTGGCACATGAAGTGGTCACACACTTCAACAGTGAAGACCTATGTACTCAGAATATCTTGAACATGTTTCCGATTAAGATTCAGGACAATCGTAGTATATCGATCCCTTATGCATAAGACAAAGTAAATAAAGATGATCATAAACGAGAGTTGTTCTACCTGTCATCACATATTCTGGAGCAGCATATCCATAAGTTCCAACAACCCTTGTAGAAACATGTGTTTTGTCACCCTGAGGACCAGCTTTAGCAAGTCCAAAGTCCGAAAGCTTAGCATTATACTCCTGCAGAATTCATATTAGCGTTGGAATCCCGGGGAGAAAGGTATTAGACAACAGATCTTGCTGGTCACATACCGAATCAAGTAAGATATTAGATGTCTTGAAGTCTCTATAAATGACAGGTTCAGAGCCTCCGTGGAGAAATGCTAAGCCTTTGGCTGCACCAAGAGCAATTTTTAACCTGTTGGACCATGGAAGAGGTATCGTCCCTTCAACAGTTTTAACAGACAATCATCAGTAGCATTTTTAACAACACAAGTACAAAATCAGAGCTAAGTTTCAGCATTTAGTTTTTCGCGGTCTCCATATGTTATCGAGGACACGTTGTAAGAGGAAATACAAACTCTGCAGGTATATATGCATTAATAAGACCAAATGTTTCACAACGCAGCAGCGAGAAATCATAGAACTCACTTCTGAAGAGATGGTTTTCGAGGCTTCCACGAGTCATAAACTCATAAACAAGAAGTCTTTGGTCATCTTCGATGCAATAACCAATTAACTTGACAAGATTAGGATGATGCAGCTGTCCAAGGAAGTCTACTTCTGCCTGCATTAAAATTCATTACGATTATTCATTGCATATATATACCGGTCTTAACAGTCTTTTGCTTACTCTATTCGACTCATTTTTTACTACTAACCACGAGCAGATAGTCTACGTACTAACCACCCATTCTCTATGACCTTGAAGACCGTCTGGTTTCAAGCTCTTGACAGCAACCGTAACCCCAGAACCAGGCTTTGCTGGTGCTGTCCCATTTTCCTCTATCCAGCCTTTGAATACATATCCAAATCCACCTTCACCAAGAATGCTATCCGGTCTGAAGTTCCCCGTTGCAGATTTTAGCTCGTGAAATGTAAACTGAAGCAGCTGCCGCTGCACTTTGTTCTCTGCAGCTGGTGGAAGCTGTGTTTGTGCATCAGTAGGGGTATCAGATGACACTCTTGCTTCATCTGGTACACACATCTCGCGGTTGCTAGCGTTGAGATACCGAGTCTCTGTGGCTGCACTTGCAAAATTGATGATTGTAAATACTTCATAAATCTCTCAATAGACATACAATCAGACCTCTCTATATATAACATCCCTCATCTATAACGATCAAATTTTTTCTGGAACCGATATGTTATATTATATGTTCTCTATAACAACATTTTGCTACAACAACCAAAAAGACATTAGAACAAACAATATCATTATAGAGAGATTTGACCGCACTACCTGTTGGTTTCAAACATGTTATCTTGCTGAAGAACAAAATCATTAAACACATTTTAGTATGTTTTCTCTTTTATTTAAAATTTCTATTAAACCATAGGGGGGAACAGGAAACCATGAGAATTGAACTCACACCTATTACCTCGGAGACTCCAACCCGATACCACTAGACTACAAGATATGAATGAAGGGAGTTAACCCAAATACTCCATCAACTCCAATTTTTCCATTAAACAAAAGAAAATGAGTGACTTTCTGTAAGAAAAACCCATAATTGAGTCACTTTAAGGTTATAAAAGAAAGTTCAGCGACTTTTTGTGAAAAGAACTAGTTGAGTGACCATATGAGATATTAACTCCTCGTTTTGCCAAGAATCTCTTAATAAACAATCTATCTTAAAGATGGCCATCAAGCAGGGGAAATCCAGCAAAAACAAGAAAACTAACAAGATAAAATGTAAGTTAAATAAACAGAATCACAAGTAGTCCTTTGAGTATTCAACACTATACTTTGATTCTGCCGTTCCAAAAGGAGCATTGGCTCTAAAAATTCCATCGCCCTCTACCAAAACGACTGGAAATGTTTCCAAAAAAAAAAGAAGTAGGCATACGACGTACAAAAAAAGTCGTAATACTTTGTATAGATAGAAGCAAATGATTTAAAGATCAAGCCTATATATATAATCACTAAGCATGTAAGTTGAAAGATAAAAAGTCGGCCCAGTACACTAAGCTCCCTCTATGACCACAAGAGTCTGTTGTACGCAGTCTTACCCTGCATTTCTGCAAGAGACTGTTTCTACAACTCAAACCTATGATCTGCTGATCACATGACAATAACTTTATCAGTTACGCCAAGGCTGCACTTCGGATTACTTGAAAGATGAAAGTTATAATTAGCAAATGACAAAGAAGAAAACCTGCATCATAGACAAGACTAGTTCTTGGAATTGAATTAACAGAGTGTTTAGAATCAGAGGATCCTCCAATAACATTACTGAGTCTAAGAACAGCCCAACAACCACAATTCTTCTCCTTCTTCTTCTCCTTCTCCATGAAGAAAGAAAATTTTACTAATTAAGAGAAAAAGAAAGATGGGGAAGAAAGAAAAGATTCACCAAAAATGGTATTAATAAAGGAAGAGAGAGAGACACGCGAGCAGAGTCAGGTAGGAGCAAGTGGTTCATTCAAGTCCTTTTCAGAAGAAAATTACACCGTCAAAGTTTTTTTAAAAAATATTTTAAGTATATACAACAAATGTCGAATTCTCTTACCTTCTTCGTATGCTTACTTTTTTATATATTTTTTTTATTGAAAATCCTGATTTCGACACGAGAGAGGGAGGAAAAAAAAAGGGGGGAAAGTAATAAATTCATTTGTTTGTTATTGTTAGGTGTGAGAGATTGAAGGCATCATTCATCATTCATCATTCATCATCATCAACATCATGGCAGTGTGTACAAAAAGAGCTTTTTCTCCTATTGCCTTTTTCTGTGGGGAATGCCAGCCTCTTCACCTAGCCACCCCACCCCACCCACCCCCACCCTCAGAAAGAACAGTTATTTAAACAGTTGAACAAGTGAATTACTAAAAGGGGTAGTGAGTTGTTTGTGACAATCACAACTCTGCTACTAATAAATATTTTGTCCATTCTAAGAAGTTACGTGACATCGTTTGACTTGTCATAAAAAAAAAATTTAAAAATGGAAGATTTTCAGGAAGAACATTTGATATAGGCATTATACATAAACATGTCCTTTAATTTGGCTTCAACTGACATGTATGTCGTTCAGATGTGCACAAATAGACACTTAAACTTGTATATAGAATTGAATAAGTAGACACACACATCCTACGTGACATAATACTCATAGAACGTCACGTAGGATGCAAATTGACCATGTAGGATGCCACATAGGATGTATGTGTCTACTAATTATTTAATTTTATACAAATTTAAGTGTCTATTTATGCACATCTAAAATTGGAAGACATATATATCAGTTATAACTAAGTAAAAGGACATGTTTATGTATTATATATCAAATAAAACTTCTAGAAGGTTTGGGGAAATAGCCTTTTGTAATTTTGTAGTTATGCTATTGCTATTTATAGATAAAAAGAAAATTATAATGATTACTAGCTTCATCTTTCATTTGAATTTGCCTATTGTTTGATCATTATTATGTTTTTTTTTTTGAGGAATTCCCTCCTTGTTTATAGGTATGATTAGTAGTTATTATAATTATAAAGGAAACAAACTTGTGTTATATTTTCCTCCTATAAAATGATGAACTATAAAGAATCAATTCACATGCCTTACTTAATACTTTATGATCGAAAAATTCATCTGGAGCCGACCCCTTTAGGTTAATTGGAGAGAAGTGTGCAAACAACTAATTTTTTTTATCATAATTTAAGTTACAGTCGAAGTATATTAATTTATGTAAGTTTTGCTAACACGAAGCTAACTCTGGACTATTTTGGTGTACATTGATTGTGTATTTGTACCTAGGTTATTGAGCTCAAAAAGATCTATCCAAGTGGATTTTCATGTTTGGTTCAAATCTCCAAAAAAAAAATGTTTTTTCCTTTTTTTCTTTTTAATGTTATTATTGGGTTGGAAAGGTGGATTGATGACAAAAATGTGTAAAAGTGATGAAAATTGTAATGGTATTACAAGATTATTATTTCAATATTAGTTTTTAAATTTGCTTGAGTTTGTCCAAAAACATATTGTCTTTCTTTCTTCTAATTTGTCATTATTAGTTTTCATGAAATAATTAAAAATATAATTCAAGAGCCAAAACTTTTTGACTCTTGAAGCTTGTCTAAACAAGAACAACAATTAACATGAAGATTAATATGTATAATTGAAGGGTCAAAACACTAAAAGGGATGGTCAAGGGCACTTTGAGTGCAAATCTTGGCTAGCATTTTATATGTCTCCTCAAAAAGATTATTGCCTCTGTCTCAAATTAACTATCGTGATTTTTAAAAATAATTATCTCAAATTATTTATCATTTTAAAAATTTAATGTAAAATTTATTTATTTATTTTCATATTACTCTTAGTAGTAATTATTCTTGAAAACAACAAACTTTATAATTATAGGGATATGATACATAGATAAATTAAATATTATACAAAATAAGATTATTTCTTAAAACATAATTAAGGATGAAATATTAAAATTCATCCTAATATGTTTTTAAGGAGCGTAAAAAGAGAAAAATGACAAATAATTTAAGACACAGAGAGTAATTAGTTAATTAAATAAATATAAGAACATTTATTTTTATTTTATATAATTTATGTGGAGATTTCTTTTTGTTCTCTCACCTAAAGGTGACTTTATTTTCATTCAAAAAAATAAAGGGGACAAGAGGGGACAAAGATGTGAGATTGGTAGGGCTCATTTTCACTAACCAATATAAACAAATCAAATTTGTACATTCTTGATGCTTTTATATAATAAAAAATAAATAAAAAAATATAAAAGCAAAGTAATAAGATCCTATTCTTTTCATTATTTTGTTGTACCCTGCCTGCAATTTGACCATGCATTGTTGGAAATAAAGTTGATGCCCATTTCCACTACCAACTTTTTGGGTCCCATCTATTCGGTGCGGAGCTATTTTTATTTAAGGGGAGTTAATTGATATTAATAGTAAAGTTAGAATTTTCACAAAGAAATTTATAATATAAAAAGTAAATTCATAAAAAGGCCCAAAGAAAATAAATATATAGTAGTATATATGTAAAAAGAATTTAGTTAAGCTATAAAGTATAACTTTTGTACGAAAGAAAGTGAATTAACATTCTTTGAATACATGTAGCAATGCCACTAGTCGATATTCTTTCGTAGAAAAATTACATTGTCTATATAATTTTTTTCTTTTTATTTACATATACATTATACATTAATTCAATTACTTTGTAAAAATTCTAGCTTCACCAAGACAAGAATTTTAACATTGGCAATTTAAAGGAATGGAGTTTTAAAGATAATATAGATATCAAACAAGATAACTCACTTTTTAAGGTATAAAGTTAGCTAGTACTAATCTTTATAATTGGTTCATGAGAAAATGTTAGCTGCATTTTTGAGTTATTTTTGGTTTTTTTCACATGGTAGTATGAATATTCGTTGGAGTTTTCACTAATTTGAATTGAAGTTACTTAAAATTTGTTAAAGGAAAACTTTTTCTAATAATTTTTTTTTTATATATATATATTAGAAGTTAAAGCCTCCATATGAATTTGACTTTAGACCACCAATTTATTATAGCCACCCATGATTATAGGAGATCATATTCTCAAAGTTTTCAATTGCCAAATATAGTTACTATATTTTTAAATAATATACATAGATAGTTTAAAGACTTCTTTTTTTTTACAATACTTGTGTAATTTCATCAGTCCATAAAAGATTCCCCTCTCTATTTTTGACACGTTATTATATCAAGATTGGGTTATTTGTTATTGTCTATCAAGTTTAGGTGATGAACTAAAAAAATATATATACAACCAATACGACAAAGTTAATTTTAGTTATAAATATTTGCATGCTAGATGAATTTTGGGGTGGATCTAGAATATAGAAAGTAAGTATGACAAATTATGTAGTCCTGAGTCAAGGTTGGTCTCGGGTCTCGGATCGAAGTTGAGGACCTAAAGCCCGAACCTCAATAAAGATAAGGGAGGAATGGACCTAAGCAAAGAGTGGGAGTGGGATGAGGCGGAGGGGAGGTGAACCTGTGAATTGATAAAAAAAAAAATTGTGATAATGTAATTATTTATCTTTTGCTCGTCAAGTTATTGTTTAAATAAAATTTTACATCTTATCTTAAAATGTAATAGTACAACTGCCATCTTAAATTCCTGAATTTGCCTCTATCAATAGTCAGTAATTTGAAAAGTTCAAAATTTGCTATGGGTTATCTTAAAAAGTAGTAGTACACCCGTCGTCTTAAAATCCTGAATTCGCTTATGTCAGTTAGTACTTTAAAAAGACCAATTTTTTGCTATGAATCATCTTATAAAATAATAGTACACCCGTCATCTTAAAATCCTGAATCCGCCTCTGTCATTCAGTAATTCGAAAAGACCAATATTTTGCTATGAATTATCTTAAAAAGTAATAATACACCCATCGTCTTAAAATTCTAAATTCGCCTCCGTTCAATCAGAAATTCAAAAAGACCAAAATTTTGCTCTGGCAACCCATTGTATAGTTACTTAACTCTTGCACCACTTGAGCAGCATATCGCATCAACGTTGAACTAACTTTTTTTTCCTAAAGGAGTTGACATTTATTTTGGATTAATTATGCTAGGTATTATATATATATATATATATAAGAGAACCCTATGCCCTACGTGGCGCCACCACAAATCAGAATTTCCTTTTAAATTATTTATTTCCAACTATAGTCTTCCCTTTCATAAAAAGTTGTGACTTTTATACAGAGTTGCGAATTTTATGAAAAATTGTAACTTTTATGAAAGGTTGTGACCTTTTCGAAGGGTTGTAACTTTTCCAAAGAGTTGGGAATTTTATGAAGAGTTGCCACTTTTATGAAAGGTTGTGACGTTTATGAAAGGTTGTGGCATTTTCGAAGGGAGGTTGTGACGTTTATGAAAGGTTGTGACCTTTCTGAAGGGTTGTGACCTTTTCGATAAGGCACAATAAACATTTGTTCACACTACCATTTGTTGTCTATAAATAGAGAGATTTCCTCTCATTTTAAAACAAAGAAAATTTTGAACTTCTTCTTATTCTTCTTCTGCACAATTAAATATTCGTGGACTCTGCTCCTGTTGAGTGGCGTACTGACACCATTGTATTTGTATCAATACGTTGGTGAATAAAATTGTTCCATCCTGCGAGAATCTAATTCTTTAAACCTCACGTATTAGAGGGAATAATTTTTTTAAGGGGACACTGTGCATTTAGTGGACTCGATTTCTTCGTTTCTATTTCATTCTATTTTTACATATCCTGGTATGTTTTTTACAGTCATTAATTTATGTTTATGTTATTAATTGTTGCTTTTGAGTACATGTTTTAAACTCTGTTGTTTATGTTTCTGCAAAATTATTGTCTCCGATTATATTGAATGTATACACATATAGTAGGTATATTCATTGTGCAGAAAATAGTTATTGTACTCGGTTCCAAGAATT